GCGGTGAAGACAACACTAAACAAATAAAAGTTATACATGTGTTTTTTTTCTGTTTTTAATATAGTGTATGAAGCAATATAGCACTTGCTGTCATTACAAAAATACCCTGATCTGGGCTGTCATATAGCTCAGTGGGTAGATTTACTGGGGCCAAAGCTGTTTGACCTACCCTCTGTCTCCCCCTATCATAGCTGCCACTCAAATAAAGGCACTGGTTGCCCAGACGTTGATTAAGCTAAAAATAAAAAAGTGATATGCTGATTTACAGATATTTCTTTCCCAGTGCAAGTCAATACGAAAAAGTATTTTTGGGCCCAAATGACTGACACAGGAGTTGTAGTACCATCGTTTGGCCACTAAGAGAATTTGCTTCAAAATCCGGCTCACTTCCTGAGGGTTTGAAGACAAGGACATTCCCACACTGAGCAAGGGTTCACAGTGTACAACATACAGTGTGTTAAACTTAAGGAAGAGTCCCAATAGAGACTTTGTATATAAGGTTACATATGCGCACAAACCTCAAATTTCTGCCGTAGCTCCTCGTTGCCCTCCTCCCCTTCTGGAGCGACGGGAACATTGAAGTACTCGCCTTCTTCCTGGGAGAGCAGCTTAAACCTGGAGAGAGAAAGAGAGAATATTTCCAGTCAAATCAATTCCCAATTAGTTTATACAATTTAAGCGTTTAACTGCTTCCATTAGCCGAAGCTGCTGACTGTTAGCGCAGTCCTCAAGAATAATCAGATGATTATTTAGTAATTCACTCTCCTTCATGGTGATCCAGCAAAGCCAGAGAGAGACGGGGGAAAACACAGCCGAGATGCTTATCATTTAACAAAATCATTTGGAGATAATTTCTCACATTGGGCTCATTATGACTGATGCTATAAGCTCATACCTCACAGCATCACCCATACATTCATATAGTAAATAACATTGTTCTGGGTGTTTACGATTTAGCGACACAGATATCAACTTTTAATATTACTTTAAGTTTCTTCCTTTCAGTAAGTGTGGTTCAGTTGGTTATCAGCATTAGTTTTATTCTTTTTAGTTTATAGCAGAGTTTGATGGTAAATATGAATCGCCGTATGATAGAGAAGTTTTGTCAAAAAACGTAAGCAGTTTTAATTAGTTTTATGTGGCTTCTGCCGACAATCCCACAACCTGAGTTAGAACTTAAAGGGGACCTATCATGCAAAATGCACGTTTGTACGACTTTGTGTCCACGGTGTCAGAAAACACAACCCTCTCTATTTTCCTCCATACCCAAGTCTCTTAAAAAGGGGCTGCAACGGATCTGATACAGACTGATCCAGATTTGAAGACGATCAAACACTGCCTACAGTTTGCAGCCTTTTCAACAATAAAATCCGCTCCTGGCTGTTAAGGATGCATGACTTTGTTCTGTTTGGATAGTTATGGAGTTACTGGGTTTATGTGAGATATTTCACCTAATCAGAAAACATGGTACAACTTAGAATGATCAAATCAGATGGACACAGAGGTTGCACTAGACTTTTTCACTGCCCGTCATTTTGACGGACAGGATCGTACAATTTCCGTCAAAATTCAGTATTACCCGTCGGCCTTGACACTCTGGGGGGGGGAGAGCCCGGTCGTGAACTGTCAACGGGGGTGTGGGTGGCTGAGAGCATAGTCGTGAACTGTCAACGGGGGGCGGGGCGCACGCTCGTGAACTGTTAGCGCCGTGTTATGCATGCCCACTGCACCTCGCGGGAGTGCGCACAGCGTAAAGCCAAAACTCAGACATTTCAATGATTTGTACGGCAAAGTTGGGTTTGGAAACGGTATCATTTCCTTTTTGGCAAGCATGCTTAACACCGGAGCCTCGCTGCGGGTAAACTTTGGCGCTGTTCCAAGTTTGTTCTAATCCGTCAAAATGACGGAATGCTTTCAGATTTTTACGTCATTGTTAAAAAAAATCCGTCATAGAAGGAAAATATTCTGTTAACGCGACCTCTGGATGGACATGAGTGTGTCATAAGCTTGACTCTTTATATGATTTGAAATCCTTTCCATAGTAGGGATGCCAGCGATTATTCGAATATTCGTTACAGTCTCCATAATCTAAAATTATTTTTTTCAATTAGATTTTATTTATATATATTTTTTTTTTCCTGACTTGGTTTCAACCAAAATATAGACGGCGAATAATAGATTAATATTCGCTAGGGCTGTCCGATTTTCAAATTTGATCACGGTCAGTTTCTGGCATCCCTATTCCATAGAGGCCAATAACAAAGAAACACGGGAGCCTCATCTGTTCATGTGACTCTTTCCTACAGTTCAGTATGACTTCTCGTGAGGCTTTGGAGCTTCACTTAGACGGAGTACTAGAGCACACTCACTTGCATGGATTCTCTTTACTCTCAATATCAAGTTTTTAATGGCATCCCTCCACCTCCACCTCAACGCTGGCATCTCATTAAAAACCCTGACAGAGCGGCGTCAGCAGAATGAGAGGAGGAGAGGGAGATAG